ATTAGTCTTACAGGTCAGCTACCTGTCAGCCAGAAATTTCAGGCGCTGTGTTGTGTCCCCTCCAAAAAGTAACATCGGACTTGCCTGAAAAAAACATCTGTGCAGATGTCTTCAATTTCCAGAAAAGGCACAGAAACCCCACTCATAGTTGCAATGGTAGGGAGCTTTCTGAGAATTTTTGATGTTAGTCATAATTTTCCATTAACCACCCTGATATACTGATGTAGAGTTCCCTGGAAATAAGTAATTTGTTTGTTTTTGATAATGTGTTTTTCACAGATGCTGATAAAAGGCCTTCGAGCCAGCTTATACAAGCTCCCCAGACAGGAACCTCCCGTCCGTCTAGTAGCCTACAGGAGGAAGTAGAGAGGCTTTCAGTGATATTCTCTCAATCTGAGTTTGATATGAAGTCAGACCCCTGTCTCCAGAACAGTCAAGCCGCATCAGCTGTGAGCAGATGTGAAAAACCCAAGCCATCTCTACCTGATGATATTCACTTCCAAGTAGCTCAGTCATGGAAACTGAACCAGAGCATGGTAACAAACAAGAGAAGACTGTGCTTCAGAACGAAACAATGGAGATGACGCTAAGTAATGCTGCTGACATAATCACTGTGGAAACTAAGGCCAAAAAAGCAGGCCGCTCTGGCAACCTGAAAGGCAAGAAGAACAAGGAACAAGACTGTGGATCAAGTGTGACTGAAAATCCACAAGTAAAGAACTCTGCAGATTCTAGGTTACGTGGGGTTCAGAGTGCTCCTAGCTGCACGTGTTACAGATCGATGACCATGCACCAGAGGATGTTAGAGACCCAGAGGTTTTTGAACTTCAGTCAAACAAAACACAGTGTAGAAGTGTCACTACTTCTCGCATACCCAAGTTGGGCAAGTCTAAAGCTGGCAACCATCAGGAAATAGTGAAGGAGAAATTAAAATCCCGTAACTGCCCCATGTCAAAAACAGAGTCCCGTGGCATTGTCTTACCAGATCTGGATGATTATTTCATGGATCCTGAAAATCAGTTCTCAATAGCCAGTGAAAGTGTAAAATTACCACCAGAGAAAGATATTGCAGGAGAAATGAGATCCAAAATCACATGCAGGAGGTCCAGGACTAAAGGCAGGAAGGTGTCTTCTGTGAGCACAAAAACGTTTGTCACTTTGCCTTTGTATGAAAGTGAGAGCAGTCCATCCCAACTGCTACAGGTCCATAATCAAGTGGAAGAAGAAGTTATGGGACAATATAAAGCAAGCAAAGACCAAGAACTACCCAGAGCGCTTCAGTTGTGTGCAGGTGATGTCACATGTCCAGAGTCAGAACATGAACCCAAGACTGTAACAAATCCTGGGCAAAGTCATAAATCAAAATACAGAGGGACTTTTGTTATCTCAGTGGTCAGGGATAGCCCATCATTGAGCACATCACCAGAAGTTTGTGCGACAGAGCAGGACTTAATGCCTTCTACAGGATCCTCCAACTGTGAAGCACAAGATCCAACGGTCACGGATGTAAGTGTCGTTTGGCAGCATTCAGAATCAAATCCACACAAGCCCAGGGAGAGAGCCTTTGTAGTGGAAAAGCAGAGTTCCTGTAAGCGTCCTTGGCTGGCCTGTCATGATTCAGGAAGCCCTCAAGAGGATTTGAGTAGCAATGATAACCAGGAAGTAATGCCACTGGATGAAGGTTGCACATCAGAACCAGAGTTTCAGACACCTAAAAAAGCCAGAAGAGAAGAACCAATTCGAACCTGTAAGGAGAAAGCAATGCAGAGGGAGGAGTGTGTTGATCATTTAAATGACAGGAAAAAGAAGGGAAAAAGTAGCCGTCGCAACAAAGGATTTAGATCTGAGGATGAAGCGCGTTATCTTGGGGACTTAAGCGATGCCTCAGCACTCAATGGCATTGGTGGTCCTGACAGAAATAAAGATGATTCCCACACGGTAGACTCCTATTCTGACATCTGTGAAAAGGATGAGATCTTTAAAGATTTATATTCAAAACCCAACGATCAGAATCCAAAACGGTGTAGGAACATATCCAAGCTGCATACTCCCGCGAAAACCAGAAACTCAAGGGAGACATTCGTTGTCTATTTGCACAAAACTCAAGATAATGTTCCACTAAACAACACAAGGACATCTAGTGTGTCAAGTGCCGGCAATCACATGGTGGACACCACTGATGAAACAATTCACCAGAATCTGGGAGACCTGCTGACGGACGAGATGCCACCATGGCTGGCCCTAGATGTCAGCACTGCCACTGAGGTGGACTCTTTACTCGCTAGTCCCAAGAGGCAAACATCAGGCAGGGCAGCAGTGATTGAGGAGTCCATTGCTGTCACAACTGAAGCCTCTCCAGGTATGGTAGACATAGTGTCTTTTTTTTAAATTTTATTTGAGTAAGTATTAGCTAGATACACATACAACTCCAGCATGTCTTCTAGTGTCACAATTTTTTTTTTTCACTTGAGTGTTGTTGGTCTGCAGTGACTGTGTCATTGACCAGCCAGGTAATGAGTGCAGAGAAAGCTGTTACTCACTTAAGTCAGATGTTATTGTCAGCTGTACACCTGCAACCTGTTTTAACATTTCGCATTTTCTCAACAGTAGAGTTTAGAAGATAATGTGCTTTCTTTAGTGTTTTACCAGACTCTGTTGATGGATGTAAAGTCGCCAGTCCTGATTTTAGCTTGAAAGGGTTGGTTCAGCCAGGGACGTTTTTTTATTTTTTTCTCTGGAGGAATAGACACTAAAATTGAAAATATAAGTTACGGTACAGATACCAAAACTATATCTATTTTAATTATTTATTTTTAAAAATATAAACATGTTTTCTTTCAACCCATTTCTTTATTTCACAAGATGCTGAAGTTTGAAATGTTAAATGTGGAGACAACAAGAAAATTTTAACTATCTGATCAGAGAAATAAGGATACAAAATTTCAAATCTGACTAGATGTTTAATCCCTGAAACTTGAAATTCTGCTCTATGGACACATTTTGGTTGAAACCAAAAAACGTAGTGAGGTTGAATACCCAGGCATCATAATAATAATATTTAGCGACTGTTTTGATTGTATCATGCAGAGTGACAGAAACACTGACTCTGGAAAGAGACTGTTGATTTTGTTACATACCATTTTTCATAAAAATCCATTTATCCCCATTGAATTGAAGGCAGATATCTCAGGGAGATATGTTACAAAAAAAACTATCTGTATGGCTAGATACCCAAAAGTTAGTAAGAAAGTATGTTTTGGCATGGCTGCTCTTAGTTTTTGTTTTGTGGTTATATGAAACATGCAAATACTATTTCACCCTCTTGTTCCTTTGGGGGGCTACATTTGTTTAAAAAGGATTGAAAGGCAACTTAATTTAAAATGATTGTGTTTTGCAGCAGGAAGAGTCTTAACCTCACTGACCAACACCATTGTAACCCCAGACAGTGAAAATAGTGGGAGAACTCGGAGACGAAGAGTTGTTGTCAGTTATAAGGAGCCGACCCTCAACAGGTGAGCACATCTTGTCTCTAAACTAAGGCCACAGCCCTATTTCTGTATTGATTATACCTGAATACTGCAGTGAGTTTCATTGTATGTCTTTTTTTGCAACAGCAAAATTAGGCGTGGTGACAAATTCACCGACAGCAAGTTTCTGAGTTCTCCCGTGTTTAAGGAGGACAAGAAGAAGAAGAAGAAGCAGAAGAAGACTGGATCCAACCTGCAGAATGAAAGATCCATTTTGGTTGACTGATTCTTTTTCTCTTCTTTTTTTCTTTTTTTTTTTTAAACCTGGTTTATTTGAATTTGTTGTTTTTCTTTAAAAACTTAATAAAGACCTTTTCATCAGTCTTTAAGTGAAGTCTCAAACATTTTTGCAGGCAACCGTAGACTGTAGACAAACATTGCGCCAGCATTGTGTGTGTTTGTGATCTGCACATTTCATATTGCAATCTCATCTGTATGTAGGGCTGGACAATATGTGTTATCACAATAAAAAATTTCATATCTTTTGAAATCGATAATTATCACCATATGTATCAAATCGTTATTTCTTTCGAGTTTTACGGCTGATTTTTGCTCCTGAGTGAAAATTGATGGTTAATTGTGGTTTTAACTCTTCTTTATGGTCAGCACTTGATGCCAAACAGTGGATCTCTTCACAAGTCTGAGGAAGAACCCTCAAAACAATAATGATAAAATCTTTGTCAACAAATGTATGTACTGATAACGACTTATTTTCCAGTGATATCTGGTTGGTAGTGGTTTTAGAGATTAATAGGAGGTTGGTCATAAATTATTCAATCCATGCTGTTCACCTGAGAAGTCTGTTCCACATCGCTGTTACAGGCTTGTGTTCCCCCAGGAGGATTACCATATTCACTGTAGCCTCACTGCAGCCAAACAATGTTTACGATTTTGTATCATCATGTAAACTGAAGGTCCGTAAACGGTTATTGCTCTTTGACAGTTTACAGTCATACAGAATTGTGCGGTGAGTACAAATGCTTGTTTGCATGTTGTTCAATTTGTTTTAATATCTAATGTTTTAAAACAGTAGGCCTCTGTCTGCTCATTAAAATTTGTAAAATTTGATATTGCACCAGATAAATGGATTTTGTTTTGGATTTGTTGCACACAGCTGTTTAACCATTACTTATAGGGAATGTGTTTTTAAGGTAGACTAAACTATCTGGACCGTTGTATCATTAAATTTGTTGGTAGTTCTTCATGTGGGTCCAACAAGGTATCAGGTTCATGTCCTGACTGTTGCACTGCACTCCTTGGCAGTGAATTAACCCCTTATTTTTAATTTAACGATGTTATGCAAGCTAGCCCTTCTTTTCACCAGAATATCAGTTGATTGCCCTGTATTTCAACTTCACTAATTTCTAGTCACCATCTTGATGACAAAGATAATACTGTATTTAGAAGTAAGAAAATATTAAGATGTTTTTCTGTTTTTCCAGAAGTCCTACATGAAGGAATTGATTCACAAAAATGGAGGCAAGACAGCTGAAAAGAGATGTTGAGGCCCTTATGTGAGTTCATATTAAAAGGCCAGATTGTTAAAAAGTACAATATGAAGCATTTTTTAAAATGGCAACTGATTAATTTTGTTCCTTATCTGAACAGTGGTGATTACATTGGGCAGAAACTCAGAGAAAATTCTTTTGATCCAAAGGGCAAGGGGACCAACACAATGCTCGACGACCTGGTAAACACATTAGATATCTTGTTCTTACCTGAAACACAGCTAGTCATTGTGGCTCTGTGTTAACTGCCGCATCAGTTTGCAGAAGATGCAAAATTAGGGGGCAGAGCTATACAAACTAAAAATGAATCCACTAGTAGCTTTAGAATGTCAATGCATTATTTGTTTGTGCATGTTACAGGCTCACTATGACCTTGCCATTAGTGTTGCCCTTTGGTGGTTGGATAAAGAAGAGGGACGGGATGTGCTCGACAGGGACATCATGTAAGCTGCTTGTGCTTTTATAGAGGAAAGTTAAAGCTATAGGCCAATGGTTTTCAAGATATGGAGTTGAACGAAGTTGAACAAACATGATTTACACTTGACTGCACACCTGAAAAAGTGAACTTTTCTTGGCTTTTGAAAGGGGGTCATGACAGAAAAAGTTTGATAACTGCTTTTTAGGCTAAAGCTATCACAATTTTAACTGAAAAACACTGACCTGCCGGTGGATGTGTTTGAAACCCACAGTCTTACATGAGCTTTTAGTAAAAATTCTCCCAAATTTCCAAAGCTACCACATTTATAAATAATTGAGGGGTGACAGCTCTATGTAGATATGCTACATGTAGACACACAGGGATCATAGACAGCCTGTGGTAGAAGTGTACAAGGTAATTGCTAAGGGACCCCAACCTAGGTAGAAATCCTTGACTGGTTGGGTTTCTCTGGCTGCATCTGTGTTCACTGTGGATCTACTAGATCCAATTTATACTAATTCAGTAGATAAATAGATTTTGTTAAAATATTAAATGTTACAAATCAACTAAAAAAAAACTCCCCATGAATCTACTGTACATGTAGTTATTTTTAATGAGACTTCTTGCCACTTTCCTCTCTACCACAGCAGAGCAACAGGCAGCTCAGGAAGTTCCCTGTACCCTAATCGCTTAGAACGAGAGGCTATGATCCTGTCATCCTTTGCCGGGGTAATTATGGTAAGAGTCATTTATATATGAATGCAGCTTTTATTAAATCTTGATATCCCAGTAAGGTTAAAATATGTGAATGGACTTATTTTCATTTTCTTTATTTAATTTTTTTAACTGAGGGTGCTAATGCTGTATGTATGCATCTAGCTTGGGCTTAAAATAAAAACAATCTCTGAAAAGAAGTACAAAGTAGTAGAGGAACAGGGAAATTGACAGAAGTAGAAATTGTGGGCAATCAAATGGGATACATCCATGTCCTCAATAATAATCACTATTCAAACTCAAACACAAAGGTGTGTTCGAATTCAAGCATGCACATGAGAAATGTTGGTCCAATTAAAGAGTCTTGCTTTAATCTCCAACTTCACTAAGGTTAACTTCATGCTGCTGACCTTTGCACAATTTGCCTGCTTCAGAATAGCCTGCCAGTGGAGGAAATCCTGGCTCTGTACAGGTGTAAACCAGCTGCTTCATACCCCAACCACCAATCCAAGGTACAAGTAACCTGGCTAATATTTAACACTCATGTTTAGAAACAGATACAGTATACAGTACATGTGTCTAGTTATTTTGTACACATTTATAGAGGTGGCTGCCATTGGTTTTGTATCATCCTAATTGTATAATTGTGGTAAATTCCACTGTTTTATAACCCTAGAGCACAATCGTCTACCCCTTCACTCTGTCCTACCATCCATTTGCCATGCTCGGCTCTTACAAAGCTGTGCACCACTCCAAGAAGCACAGTAAGTGTGTATAAATATTCAACAGGTATCTGGAATTATCTTACGCCGTGGTTCCCAAACATTTACCCTTTATAGCCATTAGTCAAACAATGTTTACTCATGACCTCCCCATTTCTGCCTTCTATATTGTGTTTTTGGATTAAAGACAGGGGAAAAAAACATTTTCCATAACATAATTGGGCTTTATTCTTGACCTTGTAAACACCAGCTTGACAAAATAATTATTCAGACCACCATGATAACTGCTGAAGAGTATTACACAATGTAGCTGAAAGCTTTGGAAACAAGTTGGGTTACAAATTCTAAAATGGTGTAATTTATTGGAGCGCAAAGTAATTTTTTTTCTGTCTGAAAAGTAAAATAGTTATATGGCACTTGAGGTAAAACTGTTTTGCAGGCTGATGTACAGGTATAGAGGCAGCTCTATGTATAAGTGTGCATCTTTTAGTCGCCATACTTCTTGCCTTGCTTTCGAAGATATCAAGCTTGCACAGGCAGTGGTTAAAGGGAGGCACGGCCAACCTGATAGCCTGGCTCATAGGAACTACTATAAATACTACTAAAGCATAATAGAATTCCTAAAAGTCAATTATGGGTTTTTGTGCGGCACCTTAACATTTCCAGTGGCCACGTCTGGCCACCCATATGAAAAATTTCTGGGAGTGCCACTGAGCTCTGGTCTGTGCTCTCTCACACAGTGAAACTGCCTGCTCCAAACGCCATGAAAAACACTCAGCTTGCATGATAAATTAAAAAAAATAAAGTTAAATTTTAGATATTCTATCTATTTATCATTTAGAAAACAGAATAGGAAACACAAATATTTTTCCATACTCTCTTTGCTTTTCCATAGATTTTCAGACCAGAAATGATAAAAAAAATCTTTTCCATACTGTGTAGGAACCTTTTGTAATGGGGTAAAAGTATAACGTAGCATAAAATGGAAAGAGTAATAAAGTACAAGTACCTCTAGTTGTACTTAATTACAGGATTTGAGTAAATAATTCACCACTTCACCTCATAACAAGACCTTATCCTTTAGGGGGGGTACCGACCCCCTGGTTGGGAACCACTGATCTAATAGTCCTGTTTTAAAATCCTGAACAATCTTTTATAGGTCTAAAGTTGAAAAGATGGCTGTCTGAGAGGATGAAGGCTAGTGCCCCTCCTGCAAAAGTTTCAGTGCAGTCATCATCATCTTCCTCCTCGTCTCACTCCTTCCTCAGTGTGAGTAACAGCATGCTTATCTATCCTAATCCTAATATTTTACTCCAGATTATTTCAGAGGAGGGGAAATCTGAAATATAATGGGAACTAGAAGAAAATACTTTAAAAAAAAGAAGTTTCAGGCTGTTTTCAGAACTATGTCTTTCTTTATGGGTGCATGAAAGTGTACTGTACTGCCACCTTGTGGATCTAAATAGACAACTCTATATCGCCCACCACCTTTATCAGTCATTGTATGTCCCATAAAAAATAGTGAAGAAGGAAATTTTAATCATCTTTCAAAACATAAAGTGATGAATGTCCCTAAACCTTCTCCAGCTAAACGAAAACCAATCAGAAATAAATTTGCTTCGGTTTCCCAAAGTCCATCCCTATTTCACAGAATCATCTTGGATCCTTGTCTTCAAATATCAAACCTGCAGCCAGAAACCTGGGTTTGATATTTGACAGTGACCTTTCATTTGAAAAAAACAAAAATAAATACAAATGTTGTTCAACATCATGTCTAACAAAGGAGCATCTCAAAGAACAGATCTCTTTACTCGGGCAGGGCTCTGCTCACTCTTCCCGAGTCCCGGCTCAAGACTAAAGGCTTTTGCAGTCAAGGCCCCTCACCTCTGGTCCTCCTTGCCTGAGGAATCAGAAGCTTGCTGAATCACTGACAATTTTTCATCTTTTAAATCACTTCTCAAAACTTTTATTTTATTAATTCTAGTGTACTGTTTTTTTGCCAGCATGTCTAGTTCTGTTTCATTAGTAGTCTTTATTGTGTTTTATTTTACTGCTGTACTATGTTTTTTCCTCAGGGCTGAGGCATTATCCTTTTCAAAAGCGCTATTTAAATAAAGTTTATCATTATTATTACCTCTCTCTTTCTCTGTCAGGACAGCAATGATTCCCACGAGGAAAGAGCTGAGCACTATGAGGGTTCACAAGAGTCTCTGCAGGACTGAAGTCACCCTCCAGCAGCACCTCTTGGTTTTGTCCACATGATGGACTTCATATGTATTTCTTCTACTTCTTGTACTTCTATTGTCTTTACTTTTGGATGTTCACTTTATATTCTCACAATGACAATCTTTAAACTTCAATCTTTAGTACTTCACTTCACTACTGAAAAGTTCAGCATAAGCAGGAGGTTGCTAAAGACAATTCTCTATTTACAAGCGTGGTAATTACATTTAAACAATGGTGGTTGTGGCTGACAGGCTGTTTGTATAGTGCGTTTTAGCTAATACATGACCCGTTTAGAGTTATCAGTAAAAGACGGTCGACATATTTGACCTGAAACTGGATAATAATAATAATAATAATAATCCTTATTTGTAGAGCACTTTTCAAAAACAAGTTACAAAGTGCTTTAACAAGTGTAAAGAATAATACAAAAAAAAGATAAGAGCATGAAAATTTAATATAAAATTAGTAAAATACAATAAAATAAAAGGGATAAAATAAAGTCAAATAAGATCGGGAAAGGCTCTCCTATAAAAGTATGTTTTAAGAAGGGACTTAAAAGAGTTCACTGATAAATGCTGTTTAATAAAAGAAAAAAGAAAACGCAGAAGACAAGATCTCATCAGTCCTGTTTTAGAATCCCTTCACTTGTTACCTGTAAGTTTTAGAATTGATTTTAATATTTTACTGATCACATTAGGGCCCCTCAGCTCTGGAACTTCCTGCCTGAGAACCTGAGGCTTGCAGGTGACATCATTTAAATCACTTTCTAAGACATATTTTTACAAAAAAGCCTAATTTGAGTGCATCCTACTATTTCTGTCTGGTCTTATATGTCAATTTTTATTGTATCACTGTTGTGGATTCTGATTTCTTTTAACCCTATATCATTTTAAATTGCTTGATTTTAATTTGTCTCTGTCTTGTATATTTTTAATTTGTGTTCAACCATGGAAAGAACACTTTATAACTCTTGAGAAGTGCTGAATAAATAAAGTGTATTATAATTATTAATATTATTATTAATATTATGTAACTCTAAAAGATTTTAAATTACATCTCACAATAATAACACAACATACCTCAAATTACTAGATGTTATGCCAGTAACATTTGACTGACTAAGTTACTAAATAATGTCAGGTTAGCATACTTTCCTGCTCATTATAAACTGTATAATTACTCTGAAAAACATATTTATCCGTGTTTCCAAATGTAAATAAAACATTTACCAAAGATTATCTTTTGCTAGCTTGTAATGCTATGGTGACTTCCTGTTTACATAATTGGTTGCTCTTGATGGGTCAGTGCTACAGCTGTTTTCTAGCAACCAATTCACACATTACTAAGTTTTAATGGTACAGCCTGATTTATTACTTGCTAGTTTGAAACTAGCTTGTAGTTACTAAGATCTTACTAAGGAAGGACTTTCGCCTCAAACAGCTGCATAGATATTCACAAATTCCCATTACCACAATTCAACAAATAGTTAAAGGCTGTGTTTTGTGATGACCTTTGACATTCTGCGTGGAAAGATTAATCCACTTGATGATGGATTAGTGGATAAAATGTCTCTCTGTCCATATCAATAAAGAGGGCACCGTGGGTCAGTTATTTGCCTGCTAGGACTTTTGCATTGATGATTCAGGGATTTTTGCTCTATGCCTAGGATCAAGACTTTTGGCAGCGATGCCAGGGCGTTAAATCCCCGCTCATTGAAAAAACAGCTAAAGTGGGATCTGCTAACCCTTTGATTGAGGTTTATATAGCGGGCCACTGGTCCTGCTTTGTGAGACCACCGTTTTCCATAGGTGACTGGCTCCAGTACTCTTTGCAGGATGAGTAGTAAGGTAAGAGAGTGTTGTCAGGTTTTCTGTCTATAATGGTCTCCATAAACCTGGTAGCAAATGTGGCCAAAACCTATAATTGTAACGAGAGCAGTGCAGGAATTTGAAAAAGAGTTTTACAAAGTTGGTGTGATTGTATTGTAGCTGTTAACATCATGATTAAGTTCTGGGTGTTAGGCTGCTGAGGTTGCACCCAGAGAAACTAATTTTGCCGTGAAGTGGTTGAAATGTAAAAAGGAAGCCTGCTTGACGTCTTTAACTGGCTTCATGTTGAAGAGAATCAGCATGCAAGAAAAAATAAAACAAAAAAAAACTTATGTACCATAAGTCACATCATTTCTTTTTCCTACAGTAGGGAAATGTTTAATGCTGCAGCAAAAGTAAAAGTGTCTTTATTGGCATGACATGGACATAATCAGGCAGCGCCATAGCAGGTTGTGCAAGGTTTAGAAAGATAAGATATATGTTTATCAGTATTGTTTTTTTGTTGAGTGTGTTAGTATGTGACAAACATAACTTTGCCTCTATGCTTCTGCTTTCTCTGCTGGACTCAGATCACATTTTATGAGGACAGGAACTTCCAGGGCCGCTCCTATGAGTGTGACACCGACTGCCCTGACATGCACCCCCACTTCAGCCGCTGTAACTCCATCAAGGTGGAGAGCGGCTGCTGGGTGCTGTATGAGAAGCCAAACTACACCGGCTACCAGTATGTTCTGACCAGGGGAGATTACCCAGACTACCAGCGCTGGATGGGCTACAATGACACCATCCGCTCCTGTCGTACTTTCTCTTATGTGAGTAAATATTTTGTTTCATTTGTTGTAAATTTGTGAAGTGTCTTGACTCCTGCAGAATGTTTTGTATCAGCTCTCCACACAGTATCTATGTGAAGTTAATTAATTACGGATGCATTAAAATAATGTTTTGTGTCTGAGAAGTTGTGTTTATGTTGTTTGTTTATAAGTGCCTAAATGTGTGCTTTGCTCTGTTTTCTGTATTTCTGTGTGTGCATAAGGCAAAGAATAATAAATATGTTGTTTTAAAAAATATATTTTGTTTTTTCATGTATCCTGCTACCGAACATAAACTTCCACAGCACATTAAAGTAGATCTATTTAACTGAATATAAGTGATCTGTCTACATTTTGCTAATTAATAATTAAAATTATTGTTAAGCAAAGCCTGGGATTCCAAATGTATGTTAAATGTTAAGAATAAATAAGCAAGAAGAGCATCATGGTTAAAGAAATAATATGATAATAAAATGTTTTATCTATAGAGCACTTTTCAAAACAATGTTACAAAGTGCTTTTACAAGAGCAAAGACAATAAAACACATCAAACAAATAACAAGATACACGGTAAAACCACCACACATAGAGGGCTGTAGAGGAAGAGCTCCTTGCAGTGATGCAGTTCCTGTTCTAATTTTGTACTTTGCTTCACTGTATTTCTTCAGACCAGCGAGGGCCCCTACCGCATGCGCATCTACGAGCGTCCCAACTTCCAGGGTCAAATGATGGAGTTCAGCGACGACTGTGAGTCAGTGCAGGATCATTTCCGCAGCCGTGACATCTACTCCTGCAACGTCATGGAGGGCTACTGGACCCTCTACGAGCACCCCAACTACCGCGGTCGGCAGTACTTCATGAGGCCCGGAGAGTACCGCAAGTTCAGTGACTGGGGGGCCACCTGTGCCACCACCGGGTCCTTCCGCAGAATCACAGAGTTTTAATCAAGATTCTCACTTGATTCTGTTGATTTTATACACATTTCAATTTTATCCAAAACCCCATTTTCCTCCTTTAAAAGACATCTATTTGTGGAAACTGGTAATGTTTATAAAATAATGTGTCTCATGGTACAAGGAGTGGGATGTATGATAAAGAGATTGACCCGGCATATCAATATGATATTGTTTTAAATAACCAAATAAATACATATTGTAAACAATTTCTCTGTGCTTGTGAATGAATTTGGTGTTGACTGATTTAACTTACTGGCTAACCATTTGGGCCATAGCAGTTTTAATATTAATACAACATTTGCGTTGTTGTGATTATTTTCTTACTATGTGTCCCACATGTAATAATAATTATTAATAAGTAATAATAATTACATCCTGATCATGAATGAGTCTTCACAAATACTGTTGGACTTAGTGTGTGACCCTCTCATTAACACAAGCCCCACACTACCACTCATACTTTTAATAACAAAAATGAGTCGGTTTATCTCAGAATTTCATTGTTGAGTTTATTTATTTATTTTTTTAAAGAAGCCTTTCTTATTTTCGAGATTCACATTCTGCGACTTTCAAAGAAGTTATTTCCTGTCCTTCAGTCTGTCAGTCACCTACAGACTGACTGACATCAATAGTGACAATGGAGTTACTATGCACAACATCAGTCTGTTACATTATGGAACCTATAGAGAAACCATTGTTTATAGTTATTCATTGATATATCTGTCTGCCCAAGTGCACAAGATCTCCAGTAACTTATATACTGTCTGAATATATTGAATCAATCCAATTTAAAACAAACAGAAGATGGCCAAAAGAGCACAGCACTGACTGTTCCAGGGCCTGTCCATGCTGTGGCTCTTGCTAGAAGCTGTACAGTGTCTGTTAACTCTAACAGAGGACATGACAAACGGGAGTAGGCAGACTCCTGTAGAGTCTCTGCTGACACCAGGCTTCATTTGAATAACAACACACGGCAGCACCTACTTCCACAGGGTAATCTATATAAAGATGGACCTTACCTTTGGTGGTCAGAAACGCAGGAAGCGGTTTGACCAACAGCAGCAGCCATTATGGGAAAGGTTTGTGTCCAGTTTTACATTACAAATAAAGACAATGTCCAGGGTACCGAAGGCTCTCTGAGAACCACTGGCTTTAAACAGGTGTCAGAAATGAGCTTAATGTGACAGGCTGACTTATTCTGCTCCAACAGATCATCTTCTACGAGGACAGAAACTTTGGAGGCCGTTACTATGAGTGCATGAGTGACTGCACTGACCTGCACTCCATGTTTGACCGCTGCCGCTCCATCCGGGTGGAGAGCGGCATGTTCATGATCTACGACCGCCCTGGCTTCATGGGAAACCAGTACTTCATGAAGAGGGGAGAGTACTCTGACTACATCAGCATGACAGGCATGAATGACTGCGTAAGGTCCTGCCGCATGATCCCCGTAAGGCCTTCCGTAAAATAATATACTTATTTTTTATCTTTATCAGTAGAATCCAAGTTATATTAAATAATCACATTAGTGAACATCTTAATTTTGTATACCTGACACTGCCTCTAAATGTTTATATTAGGAAGTTATGGTCAAATTTGCACAGAATAAATTACTTCAAGGGTTAAAACAACTGAATTTGATCATAAAGAGATGAGTGAAGTGAAGCTGTAACTGTTGCTTCTGTTTCTCATTTGCCCTTGCACTAAATAATAATAATAATAATTAATGAACACTTAATTTAATGTATATTTAAGCAGATTAAGTGAAAATGTATGTATAAAATTAAGTAATTTAAGGGAACCTGAGTTCAAATTTAGACCATTTGTCCTTATTGAACTGCATTTCCACAATTCACAGACCCCCAAATAATCAGAAATGTGAAGATTTTATCAAGGACTTTTTTGGAACAATTCACTAAGCTATGTATATTTTTAACCATAACTAATTTGCAAAAAGGGGTCTTACACAGTATAGCACTGTTTTGTAAACATACTAAACCCACTCATAACTTTAGAATTTAGAGTTGTTGGATCATCCCAGTTATTAGCTTAGTCCAATCTGTATTCTCAAATGACTAGATATTGCTTGAAAGGTTCAACATTTCAGAAAATACACTTTTTCCAGTCAAGTTTGATGAGATGATTGATACCTCTCTCGTGTCTATAGGGTAAATATTAAGCTACCATGCGCAGCCAGTTAACTTAGCCCAGCATAAAGACCGCAAACAGGGGAAAACATTGGCTCAGTACAAAGGTAAAAAAAGCTGCGTACCAGCACCTGTATCAGTAATTAACACGTAATGTAGTTTAATAAACTCATATAATTCCCTAACTTGCAAGAGGTTCTGTGTCTGACTAGAATCAGATGTCAGACAGCAAGCAGAGCCAGGCCAATGTTTATGCTAAGCTAAGCTTATGGTAGCTCGTGGTAGCTTAATTTTTACCATGTGGTATCAGTCTTCTCATCAAACTCTTGAGAAAGCAAATAAGCAAAATTTCCCAAAACGTCGAACTATTCCTTTAAAAAAAAAAACTTAATCACTATCTTTGACGTTAAGATTTAAAATTCTGTGAAAAATAGGACGCTTTTGACTTTGAGATGTGATCTTTGACCTTCCTGCCCTCTGTAGCACAGTGACAGCTACAGGATGAGGCTGTACGAGCATTTTGACATGGGAGGTGAGATGATGGAGCTGACGGACGACTGCCCCAACCTCATGGACCGTTATCGCATCTCCAACTTCAACTCCTGCAACGTGATGGACGGCCACTGGCTCATATACGAGCAGCCAAACTACAGGGGACGTCACTACTACCTGAAGCCCGGCCAGTACAAGAGCTTCATCGACTGGAGCGGCAACAACTCTAGGGTTGGCTCCATCAGGCGACTCATGGATCTCTAAAGACAGAAGAAGGGTTCTTGTGAAATGTCTACTCTTTGCGTTGTTTCACACGCTGAATAAAATGGCGTCAGTGCTCAAGTGTATTCAGTTTTGTTCTTGCTCTCTGAGTTTGGAGGGAATGATTTCCCGTGAGGGTGTGATGGGGTCATGGCCTGACGTCCTGACTCTCATCAGAGGCTTGAATAAAATCCTGCAAGTACTGACACTGACCACATTGAGACTCAAGCGTTGTCTATTGTAGAGCTGAAGGAAAGTCTTCCTACCTGCCCACCTCTCTCTCGCTGTACTTTTCATTGACACACATACAGTAAATGAAACAAGAGTACAACCAATTTATAAAACCACCACATAGTCCATTTAGTAGCTGTTTTGGAGCTTTCGATCATATCACATCATCAACAGATAGAGTTCGCCCAGTTGTCATTGAATTGTGTTTCTAAGGTCAAGAGTGAATTATGTCAGGAGTGAATTCTTAATATCTATTTTTCTATGATAACCAGGCAAACTCCATCTGCAGATGAGGATCATGTGACATGACATGACTTGTGGTGAGAAGGTTTTCTCTACCTTTATATTTGTTTTAACAAAGAATAAAGTAATACAAGGATCATTGTTCTTGGAATTAGATAACCACCCATCCATCGTCAACCGCTTATCCTGCGCACAGGGTTGCGGGGGGTCTGGAGCCAATCACAGCTTACATCGGGCGAAAGGCGGGGTACACCCTGGACAGTTCACCAGTCCATCGCAGGGAATTAGATAACATTTAATTGAATTTTTTTGTTGTAGTTTCCATGTGTGGGTATTTTTATTTGGACATAAATGAGCCTCTCCACCAGAGGGCAGTGGTAGAGAGCTGAAACACAAGGTCAAAATAACATGCTGTTGACAAAAAAAGAGAGATACAATTGTTACCCGGAAATATTTTTAATATTTTACAACACATGACTCTAAGACCTAAAACAGAATTCAAACAGAAGATAACAAAGTGATGATGTGACATTAACACATGGTAAAACTGTACTTTGGAAATAGTTCTGATAATAAAGTAGCAAAAAAACAAACAAAATATACAATTTGAGGATGTTAAGTCTCTACTTAAAGCTTAAGAGTTGAAAGAAGGAAATATCCATACCAAGAACTCCACTAATGCACTTATACTAGAAAGCAAAAGACCTACGGCCTAATTTTCAGCAGTAGTACATATAGTAACACACCACCCATTCAGTGACGACAAAGAGTTCAGGACTGTTTCATAGAAATACCTCCTGCAACAACACCAGACCGACCCCAAAAAAGCTGTGAGCTCTCACCTGTACAAACATAACTCCTAAACATCTCTTCAGGATAACACCGCGGCACAAACACCAAAGATTCCTGGCTATTACAATATGAATAACACATGCAGAGTCTGCATTTCACATTCACTATATATGTGACAGGTGGGAGTCTTCAAAGAGCTGGATGGATCACACAGGCCAAGGCACAGGGCAGGCAAACCAGCCAACATGGGGAAGGTACGCTGACAGTACGCTTGTTTATGTTGATATATGAGGGGAAAAATGTTCTTATTGGGAAGTAAACAAGAAGGTAAAACAGGCCTTCAGGCTTTAGTCTTTGATTCTTGAGCTTCACTGATTACAGGTTGTTTTTTTTAAATGCCCCGAAAAGGCTTGATTAAGCAGAACATGTACTGTATATTTTTTGTGTTGAACATATTTTCATATTTTTCAATGAAAGAAAAGTCAATTCTAAACATAGCCATTGCAACTGCCATGTTTAGATTATCTTCTATGAGGACAAGAACTTCTCTGGGCGCCATTTTGAGTGCAGTAATGAATGTGCGGACCTGATGTGCCACATTTGCCGCTGCAACTCCATCAAGGTGGAGAGCGGCAGCTTCATGATCTATGAAAAACCTAACTATACTGGAAACCAGTACTACCTGAGAAGAGGGGAGTATCCTGACTATAATTCCTGGCTGAGTGTCAACGACTCTGTCAGCTCCTGTCACCTCATCTCCCCGGTGAGCAAAGTCAACAACTTGTACACTAAGCAGAGTCATACAGATACATTAGTTATATAAATATTGGATATTGGTATGGTCATTTTGCTCTACTGGTGAGTAGAACAATTCATCCTAATGATGATTTTTCATTTAAAATAGCAACATATTTAACAATATTTAATTATTCTATTTTTTTCTAGTTGCTAAGGACCTGCTAACACTGTTTCAGTTGAAGTTTTAGTGTCTGTTGTTGGTCTAAATGTTTTTTATTAATTTATTTGTTTATTTTTATTGTCGGGGGAAACACTAAAAGTTTGTTATTTTGGCATGAAAATGGTCAAATTTGATCTAAAGACATCAAGTGTGTAGCAATAGGTGTAATTTACACTGTGGATGCTGGGGATGCCACCACATTTTGAAATGACTGATTTTGTCCCCACCACTTTTTGAAAGCATTTGTTAAAAAATGTTCTGAAAAATAGCTTGCACTAAGAAATGTTAACCAACAAATGAAAGTGCTATGGAGAAAAGTTTATTTGCACAACAAGAAAACATGAAACAAATGTGCATTAAATGTGCAAAAACGTTACTTTTTTTGTTTCTCTTTTTTAGACATTTATTTAAAGACACCACCATAAATTGTAGCAGAAAATGTCTCCAGAATGCAGGAAATTAAGAGCTAAATGCTCATTATGTTTTTGAGCAAGAGCAAAACCAATTTATAAAACCACCACATGGTCCATTTAGTAGCTGTTTTGGACCATCGTCAATTCTTGTGACACACTTGTATCAGCTATATCAACCTAATCTGAGCCTTTATGTACCCACCACTTTTCAACACAAAGCGACGCCCTTGTGTGTAGCTATTTGTAACTCTAGTCTAACAATTACGAAGTCCCCAACTTTGCTAGCGGCTCTGTGAGGCTGTACAACAGTGTTCTGAGCTAAATGCTAACATCAGCACGCTAACATGCTCACAATGACAATACTAACATGCTGATGCTTAACAGATCTTAATTAGTTAGCATGCTAACCTAGCTAATTTGCAGTAAACGTATAGAAGGCCTGCAGCTGAGGCTGATGGGAATGACATAAAAAAATGGATAAATAAAGATTTTGGACTGAAGATGGCGCTAGATAAAAAGTACTCACTAAGTGATTACAATTCATCCTGAGGAGAAAATGAATGAACCAAATGTCACGACGGAGCATACAATACATTTTAAAAATATTCATTATTCATTGTGTAGTGTTTACAAAAACATTAGACAAATATATCCAACATCCATCACAAAAAACATCTTTTAATGATGCATCTTTTAGTAAACCGTTCACATAAAATGGGAAGTCAGTACATCAGTATCGGTACAGCTACATTGTAAATGGCACATGGAACAAAATATATATTGTTAAAAATGTAGGAGGCTACTTGACTAAATGATTCCCATCTCACATTTAAAACCAGGAGCCTGGGTCGTTCAACGTGCGCCTGTATGAACGGATCGAGTTCGGAGGTCAGATGATGGACCTGGTGGATGACTGTCCCAACGTCATGGACCGCTTCCACATAAACGACATCTTCTCCTGCAACGTGACCAATGGCAACTGGCTCTTCTACGAGCACCCGAACTACCGGGGCAGGATGTACCTGATAAGGCCTGGAGAGTACAAGAGGTTCAGTGAGTGGGGTGGCAGGAACGCCAGGGTCGGCTCCATCAGGCGCATCATGGACTATTGATCTGCTTTGGAGGATATCCCAGAGCTGGATGGAGGTTTTGAAAAGGCTTCATGCTTAGATAATAGCCCTCAAGACTATAGAAAGTACAAAATACTTTGTGTGAGGCTCTGTGACAAAGACTGTTTTTGGTAATGTTTGGTCATTTTACTTCAAGGATTAAGACAAAATCCTTGCGTCCTGAAGAGCTTATGAAAAACTGGAATAAGAACGGTTGACTCCCTGATATTATGATGGACTCCTTAAAAGGGACTCATTGCAAAGCACTATACATCAAGAGCACAAGCAACAACAACAAAATGTTTTTGGACCTGTTCTTGATCACACACCATCGTATAATAAAGCTGTTGCAAAGAGTCTTCATATTCCATTCAGTTATGAGGAGAACCTAAAACACAGCATGTGTTGTGAATGCTGTAACTTTTAGGACTTTAAGACATATGGTTAAGTGGTAAAGGTATGTCACTTTATAAATAAGCTATTGTACAACTGCAATGTTTGTCTCTATGATGAGTGACAGATGTGTCTAAATCCTTCACATGAAGTAATATCTTCTTTTTCTTATTCTACCTCATGTCCAGATTTAAAAACATCTCTAAATATCTCTTTATCTGATAGATTGTACAGATTATCATGAGTCAGCCCTATTAAATATCAATTTAATCTTGCTGATACTGTGCAGGACACACTCTATCAGGCTATTGTACGGTGGCATATTCTGGGGTGAAATTGTGATGAACATGGAGGAAAGAACAATAACTCATCACACACCAAGAGTCATCTATACATAAACAGATTTTTCCCATCTGCCCATGTACCCCCACCCCTGATCCATCATCACTGTGAGGGATGTATTTGAATGACAATACTTTATGCTGTGCAATCACACAGCTGCCCTTTCTTTCTTTTTTTTATAAAGCAGAGTGGCTTGGCTCAGGGACAGCAGAGTGGTAACACAGTCTGATGCCAACATGGGAAAGGTAAAGTAAAATAAATGTCATGGTTTTACCCACGCTTTCTACATGTGTGTATTTTACTGAGTAGTTCTTGGGTTCTTAATTTTTGTCTATCTGCTCGACTAGACATTCGCAGTCCTGTGCTATAAATGCAACTCTGCAACTTAAAATGTAAACTATCATGTGTGTTTGTGCCACGATTGCTTTTGCAGATCATATTTTACGAAGACAGAAACTTCCAAGGCCGCTCTCATGAGAGCAGTAGCGACTGTGCCGACCTCCACTCCTACTTCAACAGATGTAACTCCATCAGGGTGGAGAGTGGCTGCTTCATGGTCTATGAGAGGCCCAACTACACGGGAAACCAGTACTACCTGAGGAGAGGGGAGTACTCTGATAACCAGCGTATGATTGGAATGAATGACTGTGTCAGATCCTGCCGGATGATCCCCCAGGTAAAGATAGTTATTAACTATGTTAAATGCATGCTTTTTGTAAATCAGTTATGAGTCAATAGTGAGTGAATCAATGAGATATATTATTGTACTGGTCAAAGTAACAAAGTTTTCCATCCTGTGCCAGCACCAAGGCTCCTACAGGATGAGGCTTTACGAACGCGCCGACATGTCTGGCCAGATGCACGAGCTGGTGGACGACTGTCCAAATGTCCAGGACCACCTCAGCATGTCCGACTTCAACTCCTGTAATGTGATGGACGGCCACTGGCTGCTCTACGACCAACCCAACTACAAGGGCAGAGCGTACTACCTGAGGCCCGGAGAGTACAGGAGATACAGCGACTGGGGTGGCGTCAGCCCAAGAGTCGGTTCCCTCAGAAGAATCACAGACATCATCTGAAGTCAAGCTTCGTTTAAATTTATCTTTCCCTGAGTTAAACTGTCTGTTTTCCCAATAAACCCTAACTGCCTACTAAAACATTACTGTTTTATTTTGTGTTCTATCTGACAGCTGTAGTTTGTTGCCTCACAATTGGTCACCAGAATTAAAAATTACTTTAAAGCTTTATTATCATTTTGTAAATAGCCCTAAAATCAGATTGCAGATTTCTTCTTCTAGTAGATGTCACTGTCTGAAAGCTAGGTTTAAACAATTTATCTAACATAGCTTCTGGTTTTTACTGTACACTATAGTTTAATCTCCTCTATGCTTAGGCATACCATACCAAACAATGCCAGAGGGTTGGCCTCTCCCACTTTGTGCCACCAGTGGGATTAGCTGCTCTTTATGGTGGCGGAATTTATCCATACGATTAGTGTTAAACACAAAACGCTATATAGAGCACAGACTGGAGAGTGTGAGACAGGGTAAGTGACAGGAAAAAGGGAGGTGAATGTCACAAATGAAATGAGATAAATAGTAAAAGATCAGGATGGATCTAGTAAAGCAGGACACAGGCGATATCTCAAATACACATAATAAAAATAACAAATTACATAAACACATATTTGTAAATTCACAATATGCAAACTATGTCAACCCCGTGATTAAAGTTTTGCCAAATCAAAAATAAAGAAAATTAACTATTTATGACTATGGACTACTAACTATGGATACACATTCTGTTTACGGTTGTCATAATATTTGAAAACAAACAAACAAATATAAACAACCAAACCTAAGCACAACAGTTAAGCAAAAATCATCCAAATGTTTGTTTCATCAATTCAAAAATTTACTCTTTTATTCCTAGGGAGATAAAAGTTTCAGGTGTTTTAGGTGTTTCTGAGGGGGGTTGTCTCACATTCATAAAAAATTTTGCATAGTTATAATTATTTTTTATAACAAAATATTATTTAACAAACATCAGTCAGAACACTGAAACATAAATATACATACATACAGTCTAAAGTTCCTGACTTTCTCATTTATCATCATTTTGATGTGGATATCAAGGTTAGATGTATATACATATATAAAGCTGTCAATCTGTATGGCACCATGTCACCAAATATTTACCATGACACCATGGAATCTATTTTCCAGAATAGATGTATATAAATAATTACATGATATATATAATAATATGTAATTACATTAAATACACACTGCCTGTTGTGAACAAACATGTCATAAAATAAAATAGTAGTCATTATTTGCCATATCTGGACCATAAATTTAGACCATGTAATCATTTAGCAGTGTGATATTATGGAGGGAGTCAAACATGGCTGTGAGTCATGAAGGGAATTGTAGTCCATTAGGCCAAAACTGTCAGATAGTTGAACAACAATACTGTACCACACCTGAATCTGGGGGTAAATGTGTTGAAAATAAACAAAGTAAAAGTTGACGCGAGCATTCCACACACATACAGATAACATACACTGTCACAATGTACAAATCCTAATACAATCTTTACATGCAGTGTAGCCTACAGACTGACAGCACAGTATACACTTACTTATTTGCATACAGTAGGGTAGCTCAGGTAGAGCATTAGGAGAGTGAATGGCTTCCTGGTCTGTTACGCAACATATTTAATGCGAAAGAGCTGTTCCATATTGTTCTGCAGCCATTGTCCACTGGATGTGTGGATACCATACTAGTCTTTTCCTTTGTCCATGCATGTCAAAACACCAAACCAGTTAATTATTTATCCTTTTTTTCAAATACAAATCCATATTTCTGACCCAATGTTGTGCTCCAACAAAAAGGTAAACATGTGCCAGTAGCCTTCAATTATAGCTATGAGAGAATTTGAATAACAATACTTTGTTTGTCAAGAGGTAGTATAAAAAGCCCTGAAAACATGGGGAATCTCTCCAACGGAGACCATGGGGAAGGTAAGTACTGTTTTTTCTCTCTGTTTAGATTCAATGTGAGTTACTACAGTTTGTTCTCAGTATGTTTTCAGAATGAGAATCAGATTTATTGCCAAGTAGATTTACACATATAAGGAATTTGCTTTCTGTTGAACACAGAGCTGAATTCTTATTATTCTCTTTTTGCTGAATGTCATTAGGCAAAGTTCACTCAGCAGCTCACGACACTTCTATTTTTCACCAGATTATCTTTTACGAGGACAAGAACTTCCAGGGTCGGAGCTATGAGTGCAGCAATGACTGCACGGACCTTCACTCGTATTTCAGCCGTTGCAACTCCATCAGGGTGGAAAGCGGCTGCTTCATGATCTATGAGCGACCCAACTTCATGGGCCACCAGTACTTCATGAGGAGGGGAGAGTATCCAGACTACCAGAGGTGGATGGGCTTCAGTAGCTGCATCCGTTCCTGTCGGATGATTCCAGTGGTAAGTGGGTAAGGTTTGTGAAGACACTGTGAAAGAGAACTTTCAGAATAGTTCTGAATTCATTTCATGAAGTCAGGATGACTCAAAACAAAGTAAGGAGTCTGCTGTTTGAGTATATTTTATGTTAACACTGCAAGTTTGATTTGTCATAGGCTTGTGGTTACATCAAACTTTTTCCCTTTGGTCCCACAGTATCGAGGCTCCTACAGATTGCGCATCTATGAGAAGCCCGACTTCAGTGGTCACATGATGGAGTTCATGGATGACTGTCCCTGTGTGTCTGACCGTTTCCATCACCGCCACGTCTACTCCTGTAATGTTATGAATGGCTACTGGATCTTCTATGAGTACCCCAACTATAGAGGCAGACAGTACTTCCTGAGAACTGGGGAGTACAGGAGGTACCGTGACTGGTGCGCCACCTGCGCCATCGTCGGGTCCTTCAGAAGGGTCACCGAATTTTAGCCATTAAGCGAAACCTTGCTGTAAATATCAAACACTTTGTTTATTAAAGATGTTGAATTTTTAACCTTTTTTTGTGAATGTGGTTTCATTGATTTGTCAGATTGGCTTTGAAAGGCTTACAAAAGTGTGATTTTGTTGTCTGACCTGGAGTAAGTAAAATGAGCCTTATAAAAGCAATAAAAGAGCTGCCAACACTGTAACTGTGTGGTTTGCAGATCTTGCACTTGCTCTGTAATTACTGTGAACAAGATGGTAAAAACACAATTTTTTATTGAGATTGCTCCTTAACTATAAGAAACAAGAGGGCCAAGCAGCCATAACTGTACTGCAGCTGCTCCAAAGCAAAATAAACTACCCATCAAGTGGGCAACACTAAATCTTTTCCTCTGTGATACTTTGACTTTGACTCACTCATGTTTAATGTTGTACTAAATATAATTACTATATTACTATAAATCCTTATAATTTGCAACACATTTTCCTGCAGCCACATTACTGTACCCCATAAGTTATTGGTAATAACAAAAAAAATAACTTATGAAATTCCTCTAAATTATAATATTGTATTAATCACATATTTAACTTATTTTCTAACTTCAAAGTAGAGGTTGGATATTGTCATATGCCAAATCAAGAGAATCTCCTAAACTCATATTTTGAAGTCATTAAAATGTACAGTATAATAAGTAAACTAATAGTAGTTATATTCAATAAATAACAACAATAAACTTGAATGAATAAATTATTTACCCTCTGCCAGCCCTGATCCATAACACCAGAACCTGGTTCAAGCAATGAGTCTAACTCACAACTCTCTCCGTCAGTTTAACACACACACACACACACACACACACACACACACACACACACACACACACAGCAGAGTTCGCAGAGCGAGGTAGACATAATGAGTAATGGGAAAGAGAAAGAGAGAGAAAGTCGTACTTTTATAGTTACCTATGACAGTAGTTTTAAGCTAGTTACGGCTGTCCATTCAACAAATGACAGAAAACTAACATTAGACATTGCAGATTGTAATTCCAGCGATGGTAAACTGGAATTACTCTTGCATGCTGTTCAGTATTTGTGAGTGACAACCTTCTTTTTTTGTGATTTACTTCCTCTTTTTTCTCTCCAACACCATTTCTTTTAACAATAATAACAATACTTATTTTTCCCAAACCTTCCTACCAAATATGTCACCTAGTATTTTAGTAAGTAGATTACAATATATAGTACAATAATTTCATAGCTTATATTTCTCAGTATCCCTCATATATATACGCCATGTCTTTGCAGAATAAGCGGCATCTTTTAAATCACTTCTCTGTTTGGTATTTAATTCCATTTTATATTGCAATATTTTTAATTGTCTGATTTTATGTGCCCGTTTGTAATCCTGGAAGTACTTCGTGACTTTGGTTTGAAAAGTACTGTATAAATAAAGTTTATTATTGTTATTATGTCATTCAATTTGCATTGGTGTTTTATTGCGCAAGCCAATGTTCTAATCCAGTTTCATGTCTACTTATTGATCATATATTTTTAGTGTCAACATGTCAGAGGTTACACCAATTCACTGGTCGAGTCTTCTGCAAATTTATTGCAAATTTGAAATGAATTCCCAGAAAATCTGCAGAAGAAAATGCTACTGAATGCAAGTTTCCTTCCGCTGCTGTTATGTGAATATTAGAAGTTGGACCCCACCGGGTTACAACGAGCACTATGCCTGGGTATTACTCACTTATCTTTATACATTACTGCACAACAATCACCAATTTCTGAAGCAATCTGCATTAATTTGATGAAGGTGTAGTGCTGCTCATAAATCCTATGAACTAAGCTGTTCTGTTTGGTTAGAGGCTATGTATCTTTCCTGATATCTCATGTTGTTCCAAATGTACAAATTGCCTTTTAAATAAAATTGGTTACATTTGATTGCATGAAACAACATTCTTTTGATTTACAAATCATCATTTGTTATCAGTGGTGTGAAGCTGTTGTGAAAATACAAAAATACAAAGTCAGTATGTTTAATTCAGATTCTAGGTCTCTCACAGGTTTGTTAGAGATGTGGCCTGATGTCACGTTCTTTCCATCAGTGATGATCAGACCATATGTGGGGAACATTCTGAATGAGAATGTACCACAAACAAAGCTTATGCTTATAATAGACAATGCAGATGACTGCTGCCAGAAATGTATGGATGGAGAACCATTGTTACACATTTATAGGCCGCGTTCAGCAAAAGTCTGTACTGCTAATTCATCAGCTTTGCACATTTGAATAACAACACATCATGGCCCCTGGGGTTTTGTATAAAAGGGCCCTGGAGTCATGGAGTTGGCAGAGCAAGTTGAACCATCCACTAGGAATTACCTAAACCACCATCATGGGCAAGGTAATGGGGTATTTACTTATTAAAATCAGTTTTAACATAGCAAAATAAATCAAAATGTTAAGATTAGTGCTGATATGATTGTTAAATCCAGATCTTACCTCTGTTCTCTGTTTCAGATCGTCTTCTACGAGGAGAGGAACTTCCAGGGTCGCTCCTATGAGTGCATGAGCGACTGCTCTGACATGTCCTCCTACCTGAGCAGGTGCCAGTCCTGCAGGGTGGAGAGCGGCTGCTTCATGGTCTACGAGCGTCCCAACTACATGGGCATGCAGTTCTTCTTGAGGAGGGGAGAGTACCATGATATGCAGCGCATGATGAGCATGGGAATGATGTTTGACAACATCAGATCCTGCAGGATGATCCCCTATGTAAGAAATCTCATCAACACATCCCTTTGATTTTTTATAAGTTTGAACTTCATTGTTAGTTGTAAAATGTTTGGTTATGGCCATACTTACACTTTCCTGATTTTGTTGTATTACAGCACAGAGGCCAGTTCAGGATGAGGATCTACGAGAGGGAGAACTTTGGTGGTCAGATGAATGAGCTGATGGACGACTGCGACAACATCATGGACCGTTACCGTATGTCCGAGTGCATGTCCAGCCATGTGATGGACGGCCACTGGCTGATGTATGAGCATCCCCACTACAGAGGCAGGATGATGTACCTGAGGCCCGGAGAGTACAGGAGCTTCAGGGACATGGGCATGAGCGGCATGAGGTGGATGAGCATGAGGCGCATCACTGATATGTGCTAGACTTCTGTATTTGACTTGAAGTAAATAAAAATGACCTGTAATTCATAACCATGTTTGTCAGACATTTGTTGCCTTTGTGTGGTTTGTCATTAACTGTGAAAATAACTAAATCCCATCACCACATAAAGGATAGTTGCTATTACTCCCAAACTTAATGACACTTAAAAATGAAAGTAATGAAAAAAAGTAATCCTGCTAAACGCTTGTTTACATCAAAAATATGTTTACTATTCAAAAAAGAATTATCTTATATCTGTAGCTTTGGCCATTGTTTCTATTATAATACGATTGTACTCACCAAAGTAATTTCAGAGATCTTCAACATCGTTCCAACAAAGTTAGACAAAAAACATAAATGTTCAGGTGATTTAGAGATAATGTCAGCAAGATATCACAGCAATGAACTTGGTGAGGACAATCATCATAACCAATAGGACAACAAAAACAAGATCAATATGAATAAGATGTATTGTAATGAACCATAATCATCCTGTAATCATAGGTAGTATTCCAATTTATCTACAATTTGTATCATTCAATTTAACATTAATTGTATAGTACCTTTCATACAGGTTAATACAATTCAAAGTGCTTTACAGATAACTGACAAGCTGATAATAAGATGTAAAGAGTAAAACAATTTCAGACTAATGCACACAAGAAATAGACATGATAAAAATGATATAGTAAAACCAATAAAATTGATTAAAGCAGTAAAATAGATACAAGACAAATGACAAATGACAAATAATGCAAATAAGAGGCAATAAACCTTCACATCCAAAGCCAGGCTGAAGAGTTATGTTTTAACTTACTGTTACTTTTTGTAACAGTATGGCTAAATACACAGCTTCCATTTGTCACTAGCAAGGTTAAGATTTTATCTCTGTCCCTCAGAGAGTTGTGAGTTACAGACATTAAAAAGGGTAATTAGCCATATTTCTCTATCCAATGTAGGTCTCAAAGGCAGTTGTAAATAATTAGTTTTCCTTACTGATGAACACCTGCTGTAGTTAGTTATAATTCAGACAGTTACAATTGATTATGGGAAGCTCTAATGATGTATATGATAACCTATTTTATAATATAGTCATATATATATATATATATATATATATATAATTTATAATTTGTCAGCTAGTTTTACATTTAGTCTTAGTACTGAGAACAAAAGTCCATGTTAGTTTTAGTCTTATTTAGTCAACCTCATCCTTTTTGTGAAAGCGGTGTGGGGAAGCTATGATAGGGAAATCCGCCGTAGCACACGAAAAGCTTCTAGTTATTTGAGAGAACATTGGGCTGATCTGGTCTTTGAGATCTGAATGAATGTAGTGATGGTGTGCTTGGGAGGACCAGCGGTGCATTATCTGTTTCACATGCTCGAATGACATTGCAGGAGGCTGAGGTGGTACACATTGAAGAGGACAGAAGCCTGCAAATTGGTGTTTACAGAAAACCCACACACACAGACCAATACCTACTCTTTGATTCCCACCACCCACTGGATCATAAGCTAGGGGTCATGAGAACACTGCACCACAGAGCGAAAAACATACCAACAAGCACCCAAGCCAGAGAGAAAGAACAGAACCACCTGAAGGGGGCACTTACAGCCTGTGGATACCCTAAATGGACCTTTGTGAAAACAGCCACAAGATCCAAGAAAAACAAAACTACAAGGGAGGAGGAAAAGAAGGTCAAACGCAACAACATTGTGATTCCATCACAACACACTAAGACAAATGTGGGTACACCCACCCGCGCACCAAAACACAAGAAAAGCAATCTAGTGTATGCGGTCCAATGCAGTGAGGAATGCACAGACCTGTATATTGGGGAGACTAAACAACCACTACACAAATGCATGGCTCAACACAGAAGGGCCAACTCCAACTCAAGAATCTGCAGTTTACTTACATCTGAAGGACCAACACATTCTCATCTCAATGCGTCATAACTGACGCTTTCAAGAGTGCGTGACAAAGGATTTTACGCTAAAGGTACCCTTCCGTCTCAAACAACTACGCTTTGTCACTCTTTCTCAAATCGTCGGTATATGACGCCCTGAGATGAGAACGGGCTCGAAGGACAGAGGACACTCGTTTGAGGAACACCAGGTGCACATTTTAGACAGAAAAGATGGATGGTTTGAAAGAGGTTTCGAGAAAGCCATCTACACCAGGGTTGAGAAGCCGTAGATGAAGAGAGGGGGTCTACGCCACCACTTATCCCCCACTTACAATGCTGTCCTTTCATCACTTCCCAGGAAACTCAACAAAGGGAAACTTTTGGCCTTAGGTGAAGATACCAACGATGGTCGTTCAGTCTTGGCCTCCGGTAGTTCTGACGACCATAACGACTGTCGCTACCACAGCCAGGAACACTAACGAACCAGCGGTATCAATGATCCTGGCAAACGACCCCACTGAGGTTAAATAGCTGAGTTTCCCCACCAGTCAGTCAGAACTGAAGAAGTCCTTTGGATGAAAGACGAAAAGTTTTCTAGTATCTTCAACCAAGTCCAGTTGGATAACTATGACCTGGATAACTGAGAATCTTCACAGACATCTGCCTGACAAGAGAGTACTTGGCGGAAATGCTGGTGGAACCAGGATTGACTAGCCAATTGACCGGACTCAGAGACGATTTGACATGGTTGTGTTCTGGGATTCCAGAGTTGCAAATAGTTCACAAGGGTCTTGAAAGGGTTAAAGACAAAAGTAAAAGACACGTGTTAGCTGGCCCGATTGATTGGATTTGGTTCACAGTGTTGTTTGAGAAATTAGTCTAAATTGCAGGTATGACGCCAAAAGTCAAAGTGAAGGGGAGATGCAATGAAGTGAAACCAAAGAGAGCAAGTGTGAATGTAGCTTCTAACCGGCAAAGATGTCTCACAGAAGTCTGCTGTGGGAGGAAGGCGGCAGAGGTCTCGTGCTGGCTCTTGATGTTGACCTGTAAGAAGTAAAGTTATTTGAGAATGGGTTGTGTGGGTATTTATGGAAATCCTACTCCTGAAACTCTGCTAATTAGCTACACATCATAATTACCTGGATACCAACTTTTAGCCTTGCTGTGGCTACTCACAGTATTGCAGCAAAAATTTCCCTGAGGCCAAAAAAGCATTTTCCCCACAGACCCCACCATTATTAAAGTGACGTCTGTAAAACTATATACAGGACACTTCGAACAAGGTCAGTTATGACGCTTTCTATTATGAATTTGTGCTCCACTTACTTTCAAAAGTAACGTGTGGAAAATTATACCCATGTTAGTTCAGGTTGAAAAATTTTCCATTAGCTTCTAGCATTATGGTCAGAATGGGGGGTGTGGGTTGGAGGACAGGGTCAGAGTCACGCAGAATGAGGTAAGAAGCACGCCTTCTGAGTTGTCAAAAAAACCAACAAACAAAAGCTCCTGCTTCTATGCTTGGCATGTCTAACACAAAGTTGTCTCTGGGAGGTTGGTTTTTCACTGCCTGCATGCCTTAAGAATCTCTCACAGTAGCATTATGATAACCTTAATTGGCTCATATGACTGTGTCAAACTTGGGACTGTTTATTAGCCTGACGAGGGTGAGTTGTTTTGATTTAGGAAATGCTAGCCATCACAATTTGGATGCAATGCTAGGTGTTTACGTTATTTCCATTGGGTCTAACTACAGCCAGTTTACATATTATTGATGTTAGGGCTAGGTACTCGCACATGATGACATTTTGCCGATCATTACAACATAAGTTGAGCTCCTCAACTAAATTGCCAACTTAATGTTACCATCCATTTTCTTCTTGCAAAGATAATATTATCAGGAATAATACTCATAACCACGACTTAATAAAAAAAAAAATTGCTTTTGAATTTGTTTTGGATCATGAGACTAATTCATGAGACAGCTATTATGGACGTTATATAATGTATTTTAACAGATCTTCTTGCAGCAGCCTGATTATGTCGCTTGAGAATGGGGCAAATGCAGCACATATTTCGCAACAAGAATTTTTTGCTAATGATTTCAATTCAGTCAAAGTTCATCCAGACACTTCTTCCACATTTAAAGAAGATCCCGATGATAAAAATTTAGTTTGTTACCTGTTGCATATTTTGACTAAAAGAAGTTGTTCAGAAAACTCTTGTGAGTAAGCCCCACAAGATAGCTGTTGTTCCATCTACTAAACTCTGGTGAATGACAACAAAATGCTGTACCTTTCTCATTGTGTGTCACAATGAGATTCTGATTGGAAAGCGTGGCTCTTTTGTGTTCCCTCAGAATAGAAAGATTGTAACGTTAATGAATTGTAGTGAATGTCAACCTTTTTGAAAGGCTCGTACAAATTAGAAAATATTTATGTTTTAACTTGTCAACAGAGTAAACTTCATAACAAAAATGGAAATCTGTTATATGAATTACTTTGTACAGTACACATCTTCAATATGATCAACACCTAGTGATTAGAAACTTTGAACTTACTTTACTTTAATTGTGATGTGAAATTATATGCCCATCATTGGCTAATTTAGTGCATTTAACTATGTGTCAGTTGCACTGTCGTACAGTACGGCTTGTAGTCTGCCAATAAAATAATCAGTAGTGCCACAGACATTAGGTGCTTAGTTTAGAATCAGTTACAAAACACTAAGCGTATTCACTTGTACACATTTTATGCTATACTTTTATTTTCTATAAGTGTATCGAAATGATGCAAAGATGGCTTTATATTTTTCTTAAATATGTGTAAGCTTGCTTTAAATATTTCTTACTTACTGACTGGATGTGATACAAAGAAAGGTGCCATGGAGGGTTGTCAGTCTACCTCAAAAGACCCATTTGGTTGAAGGTGCACTTCAACCTGGTGTATTGTAATACATTTGTTTCCCCTGCTATCAATTTAACTGTACTGATATCAACATATACAGTAAATTGGCTTCCCTAACAGCAGCATCAGTATGTATCCATGTTGTCTCAACCAATAATGTTTTTTTCACTATGGAGGCAACAAGTATTCTTTGTTCCGTGGAAATGTTGTATATACAGTAAGTTAGTTATAAT